AGAGGTCCTGATACTCTCACTGGGACGGGTTCTGCTGTAAGAAGTAAGAAGATACCTCGTCAGTGTCAAGGCATGGACTTCCCGTCAGGACCATGTACCCACCAATCCCCTGGAGGAACCAGAAGTCACTCGATTTGCATAGTCCCAACCATGCAGTTTCATGGTCATGAAGCTAGAAAGGCCAGAAAAGCCGTGTAAAAGTGACTTATGGTATCACACACACAACAGACATATTCAGACTCACCCTCACGCATAAAACTCACCCACAGCACCCTCACATGCACATACACAGGCACTCACCCACACAAACACGTGCACACACACAAAGGCATGCGCAGCCCATTACAACACAGTCAGTGCCACAGGGTGCATACACGTTTGCACACTCATGAACACATTCATGTTTCTTGCTCACACCTCATGAGTTCACTCTCCCCCTCCTGCTCACTTGCACACACAAGCACGCTCACACACAAACACACTCACGCACAAGTGCCTAAATTCTTCTGCAGACTCTCTGTGTCTCACAGATCCTGGCTCCCTTCGCGTCTCTGGTGAACCCTGATACAGGGGCCCCAAAGTCACTGTCAGCGAGCACTCCTGGCTGGTCACACGCAGTCTGACTTGCGCAGGAGGTGCTTGCCTAGGACCTGCAACCTGACAGCGAGGGTCCTTGGGGGAGAAGTGGGGGTCACACACACGCCCCCTTTCATGCAGCACCAGCCTGTGTGTCAAAGCCCCTGGTGAGTCTCAGGACGTGCCGCGTAGCACCCAGGGTGTCAGAATGTTACCTGGCCAGTCTTCTGGCAGGTGTGTCCTGCCTGGCTCCCATTCCTGGCATTTCTGAACAGCAGCCTTGTGTGAGAACAATACGCTTCATTGTGTCTAGACGGTGTGGAGTGTTCCTTCTGGAGTGGTTTCATCCCTGCGGTTTGGCTTGTTTGTTTCTTCACACACGTCCAGCTTCCTTTGTCTCTCCTTGGGTCACACCTGGCCTCTGGCCCTCAATACACCTCACACACCTGGCCAGGTAATGACATATTGTCAGGAGAGACCAGTCCCTGGAGAAGGACATCATGTTGGTAAAATAGAGAGGGTCTGTCAGCAAAAAAAGAGGAAGACCCTCAATGCAGTGGGTGATTGACACCGTGGCTGTAACAATGGGCTTGCGCCCTGCCTTGTGCAGCTCTCCGTGGCTTCTAAGTCAGATGATACCTTCAGTAGGACAGGGTTACCCAGATGTGTGAGCATGGGACAGGGGCACCCAGAGGCTCTGATGTTGGAGTTGAGAAGGGGCTTCGTTTGACTGTGTCCCTGTAAGGCTGGGCTTGTCCACATGCTCCTCGGCCTGGAACACCAGAAAGGTGGCTGGGTGTGTGCACTGTCTGCAGCCGCTCCAGTGAAGTAGCACAAACTGGGGCTGACACCAGCAGACATTTATTTTCTTGCTGTTTTAGGGGCAACAAGCCCCAAACCAGGGCCCCAATGGGATGATTCTCCCTCTGAGGATGTTTGGGAAGAATCCTTCCCTTTTTTTCAGGTGGCCCCAGGCATCCCTTGGCTGGTGGCTTCAAACTCCAGTCTCTACCTGCCTTCACAAGGTGACCTCTGTCTGTGTGTGCCTCTCCTCTTCTTGTCAGGACACCAGTCATATTGGATCCAGGGTTCTCCCCACTATACAGACCCATGTGGACCAGTTGCGTCTGGAAAGACAAACAAGGTCACATTCTCGGATACCAGAGATGAGGACTTAAACAAATATTCTTTGGGGGACACAGCTGAACCTGCAAGTTGGTGATCCAAATCCCACATGCGGCTCTGTATTCCTCATGATAGACCCAGAGCCTAGTGGTCCTCAGGCCCAGAGAACAATTCTGCCCCCTCACACCATACCCCACCTCCTGCTGTGCCCCTGAGTGAGTTCACTAGACCATAACTCAGACCCTTGGTTCTATCAGATGGTCCCCTATCCAGACCCGAGATGGATTCAGAATACTGTTAGCCCCCCACAGTGAAAGAAGGGGACCTTTCACCAGGAAGCCAGCTCCTAGATAAGTTTTTCACTTAAGGGGCTCATCCATCCCTCCTTTCTCTCCCGTGGTCCCCTCTATGAATTCACAGCTGCCACTGGCCAGAGACAGGCTTTCCGTCAAGTCGTTAGGGAACCATCTCTGCCCTTGTCCTTGACTTCACCTTACAGCGGGTGTTCTACCACTTAGACTCAGAAGCCCGTCTGTTCTTTTTGTTGAATCCAGGTATGTCATGTCTGTGAATCCCCCACTCTAATGGGTTGCATGGTGTCCTCCAAGGTTGGAGTCCTTGACCCTTCTGTCTGTGGACACAATCCCATCTGGGAATAGGATTGTCCTTGTTGCATTCCCAAGGCCATGCCCGTGTAGGGTGGGTCCTCAACTCTGTCACCTCGGAACTATGAAGAGCAGCCCAGGCACAGAGACAAGACCAACGAGCAGACACTGGAGAGGGCAGAAAACAGTGACCCCGATACACCCACAAGCCCAGGAAGCCCAAGCACTGCCGGACTTTAGAAGCCGGGGTGGACAAGGAAGGGCCTGTAGAGTTGTTGCCATTCGGTGCCATTGGCTTAGTTCAGACCCATCGCGACTCTATGCACCAACGAGTGAAACACAGCCCAGGCCTGGGCCATCCTCACAGGCATTGTGTCAATCAACCCACCTCACCTCTCTTTGGTTTTTTTTTGCTGGCTGACCCTCTTTATTTTACCAGCATGATGACCTTCTCCCGGGACTGGCCTCTCCTGACAGCATGTCCAAAATGCATGAGATGAAGGCTAGCAATCTTTGTCTCTGAGGAGCTTTCTGATTGCACTTCTTCCAAGACAGGCTTGTTGGTTCTTTGACAGTCCAAGGTACTGTCAATATTCTTCTCCAGCACCACAGCTCAGAGACATCCGTTCTTCTTTGGACTTCCTAATTCCACGTCCCACTTTCACTAGCGTATGAGGCCATTGAAGATGCCATGGCTTGGGTCAGATGCGCCATCGTCTGTAAGGTAACCTCATTGCATTTCAGCTCTCTAAAGCGGTTTTGTGCAGCAGATGCACCCAATGCATATGCCATTTTTATCTCTTCACACCTGTGTCCATGAGCATTGACTTTGGATCAAAGCCAGACAAACTCTGCTAAAGACACATGCTGAACTTAGACTGCAAACCTCCTGAAAAGAGATGAGAACTTAAAGGTCTATCCTTTAAAGCATCTGCTTGCAGCATTTCTAGCAGTGCCAAGAAGCTGAGAGGCATCTAACCAGGGGTCTTGGCAGTAGACCGTTTTCATTCTTCCTCTTTCTCCCTCCAAGCTTCCTGCATGTGGTCCTGATGGTGGGTCTCTGGGACCTCTCTCCCTGTTCTACCCTCTTCATCCACCACCACTGCCCTGGACCTGGCCACCCCACCACACACACAGGATAGTGTCCTCCTGCCCAGTGTCCTGATAGGTACTCCACTCTGCCACTCGGGGTTCCCAATATATGGTGTTATTTGTCATAGTTACATAATCTGGTGTCAACTTGAGACTATTAAGAGCAGGGTAGGGTTTAGCCTGCCAATCAGGTCACAGCTTGATGACCTCATTTGGAGGTACAACACAGATAAATAGCTCACTGGAGGCCAGATACACTCACTCCCTGTGAGACATTCTTGTTGACAAGCCACATGGCACATGGAGCTACGCTAGAGCCCTGGAGCTGGATGAGTCATGTGGAGATCCACACCAGCGCTGAGATGCTTCCACCACCACTGGATCCACAAGACTTTCCACCCACTGTCCTGTGATCTTCCTGCATCCAGTATCATTGTGTGAGTCTGAAGAGGAATATATCAGACCTGTGGGCTAATATTGGACTTATGGAATTGATCTGAACTGGGCTGGGATGTTTCCTTAATACACAATTATTCTTTGGTATAAAGTTCTCTCTTACACACATGAGTGTCTCCCTGGATTTGATTCTCTTGTCTACCTGGACTAACACACCACTTCCCTCCGCAAATGCCGTCCAGAGAAGGAATAGGAAATGAGGCCGGATGGAAGCTGGAGTCACCTCCTCTGTTGTTATCCATCCAGCCATGTCAAGCCTTTTCTTTGTGCCGCCAGTGGGTCCCTTTGAGCCATGGACCCATCGTATCCAAACCTCAGCACAGCCTTCTCCAGCCTTGGTCGCTGTTCTACAGGGGGGAGGTTGAGTGACAGGTGATGGAGAAAGGGTCCGTGGCCACGACGGAGCACGGTGGGACTGGAAGCTGAATGTAGCCTGTTCTGCTCCGGACAGTGCCCCTCTAAGGGAAGAGCCTCCGGGGGGAGCATCGTGAAGAGTGAGACCCGCAGCCGTGCTGAAGGAGCTGGGTGGGGTGGGCCATTGCTCAGGGTGGGGAGGACTAGGGAGGAAAGGAATCTATTACTCCGCCCTGTAGGTCCATCCTGTGATGATTAGGGTGAGTTTCAGGCTCCGGACTTTGAGGAGGACCCAGAATGTGTAAGAAAGTCATTTGGCTCCCTGAAGTCCAGTGTGTGGACACCCACTGGCAGTCCCTCTTCTCGGACACTGCAAGGAAAACCCAAAACGTGGAGTTTAAAGCCCAAAACTTGTGTTTTAATCACAAAGGGTGACTTTTATGTAAACTTATTTTGGGGGGCAGGGGGGAGAGACAATCTCATCTATTCTCAGCAGCGCCTGTCATTTGAGGAGATGAGATGCCGTTCCACGTACTGCTATCTTTGCATTCAGTTCACTTCTTAAATGTGCTCCCCTTCCACAAAGAGCCCAATCTCAGGAAGCTGGGGTTCAGACTTGAACAGCAGACTCCAGGGTTTCAACCCCTAGCCAGTCCTGACCGGTTCCGCAAGTGAGCAAAGGGAATCCCTGCTTCGGTGGGTCCGTCGCACTTGCGGAGGGTGTTCTCCCTACGATGGTCGGCACTGCTGTCTAAGCTGTCTGCATTATGGCCCATGTGCTTCCTCCCGCAGTGCACAGCCAGCTGTGGAGGTGGTGTGCAGACCCGGGCAGTGCAGTGCCAGAAGGGGGCACACATGGCCAGTGGCTGTAGCGCCCACCAGAAGCCTCCGGCCTCGCAAGCCTGCAACACCCATTTCTGCCCCATCACAGAGAAGAAAGGTAAGTGCCCTGCGCCTGGGCCCAAGCTGCTGCTCCCAAACGGGGGTGTAAGTTTGGAGGGCAGTCCCATAGAGACCGGAGACAGGGGGCTGCCTGAAGGTCAGAGGGCCCTCTGATGCCCAGGTCTGGAATCTGCCACATGCTCATTCATGCCCCCCTCCTGTTCCCTGTGCCCTCCCACCTTCTTGCCATGGCTAGATGGTTCCCATTTATACTGTGAGAGAGTATATTGCCCCATACAGTCTCCAGGGCTCTCTGTGTCCTCCTTACGGGGCAGACTACCAAGTCTTCTTGCTCTCAGGGCTGTGGGACGGGTGCTATCCACCCCTATTTGGCCAGCAGCCAACGGTTGACCCTGGTGTCCCCAGGGCCCCTCCACGTGTCTCCTAGCTCCCAGGGATGGCTTGGTGTCAGGGGAGAGCTGTGGATGGGATGCAGCCCGCAGGACTTGACTTCTATCCTGAGCTGCTCACCCCAGGAAAAAGGCTGGTTGGGCCCTGCCCAGTGCTGGGATGAAGGTTCGGTGTCCTCCTCGGGGTCTGCTAGCAGCGACCTCCCAAGAGGAACCATGGTTTTGAGGCAGCCCAGGTTGGACTCAACCCCCAAAGTCAGACAACTGGATCCAGTCAAAAGAGCTTCAGTTGTCTTGGGTGGGGGTGGGATTGGGGGTAAGTGAAGGGGTGGGTGTTGCAGGAAACAGGGAAAAAAATGCCAGTTTTTCAGGACACTTCCAAGAAGGGGCTTATAGAAAGGGCTGGTTCTGCAGGCCCCTGTCAGCGCTGAAGAGCTGCCCCCTTGTAGCGTGGTCAAAACCGTGACATGCACTTTTCTGTTGGCCCTGAACACGCTGCCTGACACCACTGGTCTCCTTTCAGATGCCTTCTGCAAAGACTACTTCAGCTGGTGCTACCTGGTGCCGCAGCACGGAGTGTGTGGGCACCGCTTCTACGGGCCGCAGTGCTGCCGGGCCTGCTCCCAGTCCAACCTGTGAGTGGCCGGCGCCCCTCCAAGAGGCCCCGTGCCCCGCAGCCTGGGAGCCAGAGCGCCTCCGCTCTGCACACCGCCCAGCCAGGGAAGAGCCAGACCTGGAGATGCACCCGGTCAGCCTGTTTGATGTGGGCCATGTGTGGGTATGTGTGCTTGCATGTGTGTGTACATGCTGGTGTGTGTGTGCATCCATGTGTACCGTGAGCATGTATGCACTAGTGCGTGCACCTTTGAGCATAAACACACACATATGTGTGACATGTATGCGTGCACTTGTATGTGTCTAGGTACATGTGCATACCGGTGTGAGGTGTATGCTTATGTGTGCATACGCACACATGAGCATATGTGTACTTCTGTGCCTGGTGTGTGAATGCATACGCGTGTGATGGTGAGTCTAGTTACGTACACCTCTGTTCATACACCCACATGCACACACAACGTATGAGCTCCTGTCCGGTTGAAACCTGGATGGCCACCAAGCGAGCCTCCTGGGCTGTGGGCAGAGGTCCGCCTCTGCGGGGGACGGCGACAGGCACCACCAGCGGCATTGCAGACGCGTCTCCTCAAAAAGGCAAGCAGGGCTGAGCGTGGTCATCCCAGCCTGCCCGGGGCCTTCTGAAAGAACAGAAAGGACATAGGTGATGAAGACATGAAACTACGCGCCCCTGCTGTGCCAGCTTTGAAGGACTGGCAACTGTTAACCACTGTGCGAAGCAGCGGGCGCAGGACCCGAGACTCAGTCCCCAGGGATTGCACAGCCCCCGAGGTCGCCACACGCCTCCACGCTTCTACAAGAGCTGGGCCCCTGCCGGAAGAGAAGTGGGGTTCTGTTCTGATTCGGGGTCCTGATGATGGATTCCGGAGCCAGGAATTCCTAGAGACCGGGGGTCAGACTTTTATACTTTATGCTTTATCTTTCTCAGTTATTCCAAGGGAGCTCGTGTACGGAAGTCTATTTCTTAGTGCCTCTTGTCTAATCGAGGATGGATCAGAATGACCGCTTGACCCCACCTAAGGAAGGATGGTTGTGGCCAGCCCTGCCGTCCTGTAAAGGCCTGTGGTGCGGCCCTAACAGCCACCAGCCCCAGAGGCCCGGTCAAGGGCTCTCACCGCAGGCTGTCTCCACTCCGTAACATCAGCCTTTCAGGTGGAAGGAAACCCGATGTCACAGTGGGGTTTCCATAATGGTGCTGTCTTCCACCCCACTCTCCAACAGGACTCCTCCATTCTGAAAGGGCGCCCGGATATTTATATTGCCGAAGTTTTATAATAAATTTTATATTGTACAGTGTGCTCCTGAATGGCTTCATATTCCTTCACTGGGCCTATTTCTGGGATCTGAAGGTGGATACAGAGAACTGGGGGGCTGGTCTTCCAGGGAAGCTAGGGGGATGTGGACATCAGTAGAACGTTCAGAAAGCTGGCGGAGGAGATACCCCACCTGCAGGAGCAGTGGGGCCGCCTGGCATGGGAGTCGGTGGGTGTCTTGGTGCCCTGGTGCTGCCAAAGCATCATTGCACTGAGCCCTGATTTTAGAAAACATGCACATCAGGTTCCACAGGTCTGAAGACACGGGCCCTAATGCAGGGTGTTGGCAGCACTTTCTCCCCTGGGGACTCTGTGGGAAGACATACCCTGGTCTCATTCAGCTACTGGTGGTCCCTGCTACTTCATGGCATCCCCACACCTCACAGGGTGTATTCCCCCAGGTATGACTCAGTCTCCCTGCCTGTTGTCCCCTTTTACTCAGAAGGCATGGGGAACCATACTATTCTGGGATGATCTGGTTAGCTGGCACCATCAACAGGAAAAACTCTTTCCTACTGGGTCCCATTCTAGTACAGGGCATTGTTTCCCAAAGCGGGTAGTACCACTCTGTATTAGTCTGGGTTGACTAGAGAAACCAATCCATAGACACTCATATGTGTGTAAGAGAGAACTTTATATCAAAGAGCAAGTGTACATTAATAAAACATCCCAGCCCAATCCAGATCAAGTCCCTAAGTCCACCATTACCCCATATGTTGATACTAGTTCATAATTTCCTCGTTAGACTCACATAGTCATGCAATGATGCTGAATGCAGGAAGATCACAGCCCAGTGGGTGGAAAGTCTTGTGGATCCAGTGGTGCTAAAGGCATCTCAGCACTGGTGTGGGCCTCCACGTGGCTCTTCCAGCTCCAGGGCTCTAGCATAGCTCCATGTGCTTGTCAGCAGGAATGTCTTGCAGGGAGTGTGTGTGTGCTGCCTTCAGTGAGTTATTTATCTCCTCAGTGCCTCCAAATGAGGTCATCAAGCTGTGACTTGATTGACAGGCTACCCCCCACCCCTTCACTCTTAATAGTCTCAGGTTAACACCAGATCATGTAACTACCACATGCTCCCTGTGAACTCTGGAAGGATGCAAACTAGTCCACCCTGTGGATTCCGATTCATAGTGAGTGACCCCATAGGACAGGAGAGAACTGGTCCTGTGGGTTTCTGAGGCTGACACTCTTCAAAAAGATTTGATTGCCATATTGTCTCAATGCTCTGAACTGAGGAGGTGTTCTTGAGAGAAATCCTATGGTTCCCATGAAGAAATCTAAAAGCCCATGTTGAGAGAAAATGAACCTTCCATCCAGTGGTGTGACTGTCTGGACACTAAGACACACATGGACTAAAAGAGGACCACTCTCCACTCCTTCTCCATGATCAGGACTGTGAACTCCATCACAGGGTACCAGTCCTCCTAAGCCACAGGGAAGTGTCAGGGTGGTCCTCCTGCCTCTGGGTCTCCAGGAGTCTTAGTTGATCAGACTCCTCATGGATCTTTGCGTGGTTCCACACTGCTGTGTTTGCAGAGGGTGGGAAGGGGGGTTGGGCTGATGTCTCTACAATCTTCGTAGCACATGGGCTGATGAATAGATCAACATTCAGATGCACTGTCTGGTTTGGCAAGACCCAGCTTCACCTGTCACAGTGGACGTTTGGGGCCCTTTTATTTCTTTGCTTGTTTCTCAATTGCCTTCAGCGGCAGTGACAAGCTGCACAGAAAGCCTTTGTTCGCAGTCATATAGGCTTGCCAGGAATCCCCCCAGGTGCTGCTCAACCCCAAGGGGTTTGGCAGAGGTGACCTAGCTGAACACCCAGTGCACAGCCTGTCTGGGTTGGCCAAAACCACAATACGTGTTGGAGTCAACCCAGCAGCTCCCAGAATTTCCAGACTGAGGCAAGAAGCCCAGACAAAACAGAGAGCGGAGGGTGAGGAGGAGCCGGAAGAGTGCCAGCCAGATAAACCCAAACACTGCCTGCCTGCTACCTCCAACTCCCCTATCGCTCCCTGTGCCGGACACAAGACGCCCACTGGAAACACCACGACCTCAGCAAAGTTAGTCTGAAGAGTGACTTCAAGCACTCCGGAAAGGTATCTGCCCTCTTCTTGTGAAAGTCCCGCCTAGCCCACCCTCTCCCAAAGTTCCTGTGGTGTCCTCCTCTCAGCCATTCTGAATACCATTAGGGAATGCAAACTTAGGACTCTTATTCTCAGAGCCGTCGGGTGGATTCTGACTTTCAGCGGACCCTGTAAGACAAGGTAACTTTTCACAGGAGTAGAAGATCTCTTCCTCCTTCCTCAGAGCAACCAGTGGCTTTGAACTTCCTTCGGACCATGTGGGTCGCAACCCCATGTGCAACCACTCCACCGCTAGGGTCCCTTAACTTGGAGACCGATTCTCCGGGTCAGCATGGGTCTGGCTGTGTCTCCTTACTAATCCGTATCAGTCATTGCCTCCTCGTCCAGGAGGCTAAGAGGTGGAAGCCTGCATGCAATCAGTATTGTTCACCCCACACTCTCTTCAGTGTGGGCTCTCACAAAGCTTCCCGTGGGGGCCTTTGTGGGGGCCTGACCCCTCGCAGGGGTTCTCAGTATCGCCAATGGGCCTTCCATCCAAGCTGAGAGTTCCAGAAATTGGGACGGAGCATTCTTGAAAGACTTCTTGGAAACCGTAGCTCCTTCTTTCCTTCAGAACACGCTTAGAGAGGCTTGGAGTGCACGGTGGGTGTTCACACCCACACTCGCTGGATTTCGTATTCTGGGTGCTGTGGCCACGTCTGGATACCGCGTCGGTGAGCACTGGCCCCTGCCTTCACTGCCGCCCTGGGCTCGGGTCGGTTTGGGAATGGCGGCAGGGTGGCGATGAAGAGCTGGAGCGCAGGCTGCCCACGGGCAGGGTCCCCTTGAGACTGGCACCCTCACGGTGGTGCCAGGGCCTCTCTGTGTGAACGGTTCCAACGTCTCCCCCAAGGTGAGGTGCCTTCCCTGACCCTGAGCTGGAGCAACAGAGGTTCTACAATGACCCACTTGATTTTTCAGAGTTTACAAAATGTCCAACTTGGAACGCTATGACTTTGGAAACTCTACAAAAACCCAAACTCGCTGTGGTTGAGTAGGTGCTGACTAACAGGGACTCCACAGGACAGGGTAGAACTGCCACTGTTGTTTCTGAGACTGGAGAAAAGCCAGTCTTTCTCCCGCAGAGCAGCCAGCGGTTTCTAACTGCCGACCTCGTGGATCACAGCCCAACACATTTCCACTGCATCACCAGGGCTCCTGATTTGGAAGCTAAGTTTGCTTTAATACATTTGCCTATTTTAAATCAAATGAACCAAAGATGTGAAAAACATAAAGCCCCATACTGGGGCTCATGGTTGAAAGGCAAGGCAGTCTACGGGCACTCTGGGGAGGCCAAGTGAGACAGCCCACATGGAGTTGACCAGAACCCCAGCAGATGTAGATATGTTTTCTGAGTCTGTGAATTGGTGCTTAATGGCTGCTGACGTTATGGATGGCCTGTCCTGATTTGAGACCTGATGAGCTGTGGGATGACGTCAAGAATATCATACATGAAGAGAGGGAGGGGGTTGGACATGTTATCAGTAGAGACCAGCCCCGAGAGAAGGGCATCCAGAAAAGGGGGTTAGGTCTTCAACAGGGTGGGTTCACACAGTGGGTACACCTCTGGGCTCAGGAGAGCATTTGCGGATG